ATAAGTGGATTTAAGAAACAGTTTTAAGTGGCGATTTCCAGGCTATTTTAAGTCAATAATTTTATCGAAGAAACTATGCAAAAAACATTGCTGCAGAAATAAAATAATATTTTATTTGCCTAATTTAAAACTGCATGTAGAACCCTGTAAAAAATACAGAAAAACTAAACTGTTAAATACTTACCATTAGGTAAATATAAAATTACTTAATCGTACATCTTTATTTATTGAACAGCATTCTGCAAAGTTTAGCTGCTTTTTTCTACTTAAATGGGCCATTATTACAATAGTAAATCCATAAAGTACCAAATGTTGTTCACCTTGGAATCTTACTTCTTGTTTATTGGATAGAACAAGAATTCAATCTTTCGTTACATCGAAAAAAAGATGTTTTCTCCATAAAGAAAAATCAATTTTCCTAGCCGCATGTATCAAAATAACACGTTCAGCGTGTTGTATAATGATGCTGTCACGTAATTTCGTTTTATTGGCGTTTTCTTATTTAATTTGATGCAGTTCCCACACGTACACATAGAATCCAGCTTTAAATCCTTCACTCAATTGAAAAATTATCACAACATTAAATTGTATTTTTAGAGTGTTAGTTTGGTTCGTACGGTACGTGCGGACATGCGGGAAAATAAACAAAAATTCAAAAATATCCCGATAGCTAAGATAACATTGTGAAAATTCCACTCAGTACATTAGACTGTGCAAAGTGATTTAATAATAACCGAAAAAAATATAATAAAATAAATAAAATAAATAAAATAATAATATAATATTTGTTTTTGACTTGTCCAACTAAAAGTGGCGGTTAAATATCTTACAGTTACCTTTATCTGACAGTTATATATCCGAATAGAAGTGTTTTTCTTCACCTCGTACGGTACCAGTTTCTTATTTGCCAGTTTAGCAATTCGGCAATTGGGCAACACTGTCAAGATACATTTTAATTGGTTAAATTTAAATTCATAAAACACATAACCTCAAACGACTCTTATTTTGTGTATTTTGTTATGCTTCTTTATTATTTTAAAGGTGTGGATATGGGTATATTTTTAAATAAAAATACGTACCTACATAAATATCTTTTATCTATTTTGCGTTCATAATGAATACATTATAACACCGCTTTCGGTGCTGTAATGAGATACTTTATCCCACCCAAAATTTTGATTTTATACTTTAAACAGGATAATATTTTTCATATTGGTTATATTATTTTCTAGAACTTACGAGACTTTTCTGGCAATAAATTTTTTAACACCAAAGAAAATCCTTTTTTTCTTCTTTAACATTAACAGCCGCTTATTGTAAATAAGTAAATTAAGCACAGCATGGCGAATCGATTTTGACATTAACTGTGATACCAACTATCTAAAGTAAAATTCGACCAAATTAAATTTAAGGTATAAAATTATTTTTTTATAGAATTTTTGCAAAATAGATAAACTAGCATTAAGAACGCATGTCATAAGACCTTTTGTCGCACTCGTCCATAACAAAACTCGCTCCTTCGTCGCTCGTTTTATAAATTGTCCGCGTGCGACAAAATGACGTCTTATGACATTAGTTCTTTAATATACTATTTTACAATTTATTCTTTTATTTTTTGTTACACACATTTATTTAAAAATATCGCATGTTTAAAATAAATTTATGAAAAAAATCATTCGGTTCAAATTGTTCTCTTGATACATGGACAAATACACAGACCTGTGGACAAATATGTACAACTTGTACGTACATATTCGTAAAAGTTTCTATTTCCTCCTCTATATTTGCTTCTGCAGCGGATATCTAAAAAACCGTCATAATTTTAAAAATGTTCTGTAGGTATAAGTCTTCTCTCGTGTTGCACAAAATCAACAATTTGTTCATCGTCGTGTCTTTTAAAAAAATCTCCAATATACATTTCAAAAACAACACTAAACAAACACAAATATAACCTATTTACCGCGATAACTGCTAGTTAATTCACTATCTGACCCTTGCAGCTTCCAGTTAAATTTACTTCCAGTTATCTTAATGTAAGTTCTTTAGTAAACGTTAGTTACATATTGATAAACAGGTTAGCTACCACTTTAATTTTATTTACCAGTTAAGACACTTAACTGGACATGGATAAACCGGTCCTTAAAAATAAATCCGGTTCTGTCAGTTTTATCAATACCACTGAATTTCATTGGTATTAATTCCAGTTGTTTGAGCAATTTTAATTATATCATTATTAACTACAGGCTAATCACTGGAGATTACCTCTTCCAGGGTAAATTTCGGTAATGATCTCATATAGACATCTCTAGACATTAGGGTTGTTCTTTCAAAGAAGAGGTATTTCAAGTAGTACGAGTACTACTTTTTTGTTTTCTTCTGACTCTTTCTATTTTTTCATGCTTTAGTTTTAAGGTCAGCTCATTGAGTAGTGGTGACCTTGAAACCAAGGGTGAATAAAAAGAGACAGCGGAAAGAAAACAAAAAAAAGTAAAAAAAAATGTAGGGTAAAGATACGTCTGGAACAATTTCACAACCATCTACGTCTTCTTTTGACAATCCTGAAATGTAAGTGTGAGCTTGGTTTAATAAGATTAGAGATTATATTTATCTCTTAGGTATTCTGAAAAGTTAAAAAACAAGAAAAGCGGTGAAAAAACGTTTACTGCTTTTAAGAGGTAGGTATCATTGATTTCTTTCAGAGCACTTAACTGATTTAGAGTTTTTGACGAAATAGTGTCTACAAAAACTAAAGAAATGGTGGTAAAAAACCTAAAGCGTCCAAAATTGCCTGATGGGTCAACCTCGTATTAAAAATGGAAAAAATAAAACATTAACCATTGATCACAGAACACTTACCATAAAGGCGCAGAACACTAATTAACTTAATATATACCTACATTGCCATTCATAAAAGTAGTGTCAAGAGCTCATTGTTTTTTTTCTATGCAGGAGCTATAGTGATCAATATTTTGAATTGAAAATAATTGGATTACTGTTTTGCGCATCCATGGTTATTACTGTTTTATTTTTTTCTAGTGGAAAATGTACCTACACTCAGAGAAATATCATGCCATGAAAAGCATATAAAATTATATTAATTTAAATAATCGGGTAAATTTGATTCAAATAGAAAAATTTGTAGTTTTATATTCATTTACCAACAGTTTTACAATACTTTTAAACACTTTTAAAGTGTACCCTCTTTAAAATATATATACAAAAAGAAATCTATTTATTTCATTGCCTTTCTCAACGTTGTTTCAAAAAAATATGTATTATAAAATTGTTATACACACATTAATCATATTTGAATCCCTTTGAATTATTATCGTTTTGAATGATTCTACAGCATTTTTTCTCTCAGTGTACTAAAAGAACCAGCTTCTTCTTTGAAGTCCTGATTATTAAAGGAAAATGCAAAAGTCAAGAATACCTAAAAGTACCAGTTAAGAATGTGATCCGGTTTTCTTAGAATTTCGTGGAGTGTTGTAAGATGAGAGTTGTTAATGATACTGCTGAACGTGAAATCAGTCTTATTTTTATTAAAATACAACCATTTACTGACGAAGAACAAAATTAGTGGTATGAAACACTAATATTAAAAACTGGAAGAAAACTGTCTGCGACTAGATATAATGCATGCAGCAAATTCTTCGCCTAATCGCAGATCACCAGGAACAGTTTTGTTTCAGTTTTTAATTTTAGTGTTTCATACCATTAATATTCCTATACGTCTAATTATGGGCAATCTCTAAATGTTATCCGATTAAAAAATCAATGTGCAATGTAATAAAGAAAAACTTATAAACATAAAATATTTAAAATTTATTTTTTGGACCACCCCAATAGAATTGTGTATAAGACTCTTATCTCTTAAAACATTGTTTACCATCGACGAATTTACATTTAAAGCACTATCTACTAACATTACAATAACCGTATCTTGAGAATGTTCAGTCGTTTTAGTATTGGACAAAGTTTTAAAACAGGACATAAATTACATTTTTTTTCAATCCATTGTTTATGGTTAAATTTAATTTTGTTTAGAGAGATCACTTAAATATTTTTGTTCAATAATTATTATATACTATTATACTATTATAGTGTATTATGTATCAAGTTTGATAAACTCCATTTTAGTAACAAATTTTATATATAGGCAAGTTGCAGAATATATTCTTTATACGACAAGTACCTATTATTATCTAAAAATAATTTTAATTAAATATTTGTGTAGAGCGACGTTTATAACAATAGAGTAACCATTCTAACCTCAAGTTAGTAACTTGGGAATATGTTTTACCGAAGCGCCGATGAAAATGTCAACATTTTAAGTGCAAATCGAAATGTATCCCTTGAAAATGTACTAACCACCGTTTAAATCTATATCCCTACTTCATGGTTTAAATCCAAAATAGAAGCAGTTTTCACAGTGAAAGTAAAGAAAATTAATGTTTTATCGTGTTTTATGGACACTCCACCCGAATTTTTTAAAGTTAAATCTAGTTTACTGCCACACTGCCAACAATGTTCACATAAACTTTTTAAATATTGGCGTTGGGAAACTATTTGATATTTTTGTTTTGACGATTGTATGACATTTGACAACTGTCAACTAACTTCACCCCGTGACTAAAAGCCTGTCATGAAAACATGTACGATAATGGACGTTTTAAAGGTGCGAGTAGAAAAAATCTATATTTTAATTATAAACGGACATAGTTATATCGTCCGAACACAAAGTTTTGGTGTCACTAGTAAGAAAAATTTATGAATTTCATTCTTCTATCTATTATACTATTTATTTTATAGATATTAGTGATTAAATTTTTCATATTGTTGCTATCAAAAAGCGTTTAATTTTTTTTAGGATTTAATTAATTTAAAAATTAATTAAATCTTTAACAAACGATACTAGGTATAATTAAATTACATTTTTTATAGTATTTAATCATTAAATCATTTTGTATACTCAATAAAGCTACTAGTAAGGTCAATAATTATTTATTCATAAAATTCATTGTATATTTTAGTTTATTATTTCCAAAAACATTTATAATATGGTCATCACGACCGTTATCTTTTTCAATAACTCTCTTGGTAATCCTATAACAGTTCCTCCGGAATATATTAACTTCTTTTTCTTCTACAATAATTGTCTTTCGTTCTTTTAAGACTTTGGTTTTATTAAATAGTTCATCGGCTTGCGTCAAAATTATTTGTAGTATTTTATCCTTTTTCCCTATGATTTCCGATATTTTTTTTTCAATTTCCCAAGGGTCGTTGTTTTCATCTAATACGAATAAATCTGGTCTGGATTCAAAAGTATTAATTGTAGGTGTCTCAGAAATCATGTCATTATCAACGCCCGGATTATCATTGGACATTATAGTTTTAGTTTCTTTATAGCTTAAGCGCATTTTTTTAATAAGGGGTCCAAAATCGTTACCAATAATTTTTTTTTTCAAAGTATTTTTTTTAGTGGATGAATCGGCTAGAGTTAATTTCGGTAACGATCGAGCAATACTGAATGAATCATTTATAGACATAAGGATAACACTCTCATCTCTTGAAGCATTGTTTACCATTGAGGAAGAACCTCGGGAAGAACTACTATCCACTGACATTGAAAATGCCGTATTTTGAGAATTTTGCGTAGTCATATTAGTTTGTGTTGATTCTGAAATTGTACTATCGTCGATTGACATTTGTTGCAGACCAGCGCTTATGTTTAAATTCGAGTTTGTATGTTCATAAGAGTCATTTTTTGCATTTGAGTTTATGTCTAAAACCATTTTAATGTGAGCAAATTTGTTTAATTCTTTGTTCGTGCTTAAATTTCCATAAGAATTTGAGTTTAGTTCCTCATATGAATCGCTTATTGATTTCAAGACCATATCATTGTCAGCAAAATTGTTAATTGTTTGGTACTTGTTAGTTTGTGTAAAATTTAAATTTTTTTCTTTATCTGTAAAACTTGCTAACTTATTTGAATTTAATGAATTGTCAACAAACTTGTTGTTCAGTTTTGAATCTATGGCGTTTAAATTGTGTTCAAGGTAATTTGATAGTTTCTTGAAATTATCAAAAGAATAATTTAAATCGTTTTTATTTTCTGAATTTTGAATTGATTCTGGTAGTAAATCACTTCCCCTGATTCCTACATATTTTTTTGCTTGTTTAGAATATTTTTTTTCTATAAAATCTATAATATTTAAATCATCAGCAGACATAGTTAAATCATCTGAACACAAAGTTTTGGTGTCATCTATACTTTGATTCATATTTTGAGTTTCCGATTTTTTCGGTACACTAAACAATTCATTGGAGCAAACTTGAGAAAAAATAATATCATCATTATTTTGTGATTCGATAATGTAAGGAGGCGGGTATAAAATGCAATCATTACTATTTTCGTCAATATTTAATTTATTACCACAGTCAAATAAATCTTCCGATTGTTCATTGGCAGCATCTTGATTTTTTTGCGTATGAAATTCATCATTAGAAATCAATTTTAAAAGACTTTCCATATTCTCCTGGGTTGTTACTGATGGTTTAACTTTCAGAAACACTTGGTCGTCGTTAAAAGTGCATAATGTTGCCGATGAATCAAACGATGATAATTTCTGAGATAAAGTTTGAGTTATAAAATCATCCATATTTTTTATGAGTTTTGAGAGAATTATTAGTAGCTTTTTGGTTAATTTTATGCTGATGGGGTCCAAAAACTTTAATTCTTTTAACACCTCGATGTAATTTTGTAATTCATATTTGTCTACAATATCTTCAGCTGCAATGTGATTTTCAACTTTTGTTCGTATATTTTGCAATATCTGTTCGTTAGTTTCATCGCTTTCGAACGAACAATTAGTTTTATCAGAGTCAAAACTATCTTGACTATTCATTTCATAACCTGGAAAAACTTAGTATTAATTTAATTTAACAAAATAATTAATAGTCTATTTATAACCCTGTACTATTTAGCCTAAGGCAAGCGTTAAATTGACGTTTTAATAGCATGGAAAAATTAAAGTGCCTTCTCACGCCAGCAATAACCAACATTGGCTTAATTTATTTTAAATTCGTTTTCTTATTGTCGGTACACACCATAAGTAAATTAATAAATTTGCTGTTATTTAACGTCATTAATTTAATTACCCTGATTGTTTTGAATTAAAACGGAAGGAAACCTTTTATAGTAAGCATTACGGTAATTAAAATCTTTATTTGTAGTTTCGTCATCCCTTATGCATGGCCTAATTAGATAAAATATTTAAAGCTTGATAGCTTTGTTAATTAAGTGGGCTAAACGTCAAAGTGGCAAAAGAAATATTAAGCAAGATAATTTTAATTAATTACGAAAAATCAAGTCAAGGGGAATGCTATATACATATATATATGTATAATATAAGAGATTTTCCGTGTGAGGCATTAATCGAACAAGATAAATGCGTGTGCCATTATAGAAAAAATATTTTTATTATAGGTACTAAAAAAATAACCACGATATCAATAAAAATAAACTTGATTAATTGTCAAATATAATATATTATGTAATGCGTTTTTGATATTGATACATCAAATTACAAAAAATCCATTTCATTTCATAAAAATGACACCGTTTTAACTGTTTTTTTAATTAAAAAAATAAAATAAAAATTACAAATTCTCGTTTTTAAGATAGGTACTATGCTCCACACTTCAAAGTCCCACCACGTGACCAGGTACGGAACGCAGTCTTTTGAAAATTTGGCATTTAAGGCTTTTCAGGTTATGTATCTGTCAAAGTATACTCAATGAAAGAAATAATATTTATACTGTTACCGTTTATGTTTAAGCGTTAAAAGTTTATAAATCTTTATAGTATCACAGTAACAATGGTTGGTTTAAGAGTTTAGGAGTATAAATACTGCATTTAATGAAATTCTAAAGTATATAGTGCCAAATAAGTAAAATTTTTGTGCATTTGGTCTACATAATATGTTAATATATTATATCTGGTTTTATCCATAAAATAGTTTTAACTAAACGGCATTTATTAAAAATATCTAGCTTCTCTATTATGGAATAAGAATATCTGTATCAAAGGTAGGTTAATATATTATAACAAAAAATATCATCTAATTTTAAAATTTTAAGGTTAGAAAAATCTATTTTGATCAAAATAAATAAGTATTTTGGATTATTTGGAAGATTGTGTTAATATGGTCATATAAATATAGATATACTAAATAATTGTTGAATATGGTTCAAATTAAATTAAAGCTTTTATACCCCTAACAACAAAACTTGTGCATACCTCTCGGGATCCCTATTTTAAGTTAGATTATAAGGAAACAAACAATTTTTAGAGATACATGCAATGTAAAAATATTTAATACTCCCATAACATGTGATTTTTGAAATTTTTAAAAGTTATAATGATTTATCGATGAAGATAAAATTCAGTTGAAGCTATACGTAATTGTATTGACAAAACTTTATGTAGGTATACTTTAAGCTGGATAAGAAAGACTATTACAAGTAAAAATATTAGATAGAGTATACTGTGGTTTTATTTAAATTTTAGAATTTATAAGGTTATTTATACCTAATGATTGTTTGATGTAGATAAAATTTTGTCGAAGCTTTTATAGGTACTTGTATTGACACTATGAGTATATTAGCTGACAGTGTAAGGAACTTTAAAAAGGTTAGCTATTGAATTTTTAAAAAGAATTTACAGTTTTTTAAAATTAAGTATCTAATGGTTTTACATTTGAAATGTTTAATATTGCTTATTTCCAAGAGCCAGTTGTTCAATTATGATGTCTATTTTGTTTTACTCCGGCATAAATATTTTCAACTGTAAAACTTAACTATTTTAAGATTTTTAAAATTAATTAAATATTAAAAGGGGTTAATTTAAAAGAAGGAATCTAAAAACAACACCTTAAAATTATTAAAATTCTATCTAATATTTTTACTTGTAGTAGTCTTTCTTATCCAGCTTAAAGTATACCTACATAAAGTTTTGTCAATACAATTACGTATAAAGCTTCAACTGAATTATATCTTCATCGAAAAATCATTATAACTTTTAAAAATTTCAAAAATCACATGTTATTTATTTATTTATTTAACATCCAGAGTATTAAATATATTTACATTGCATGTATCTCTAAAAATTGTTTGTTTGCTTATAATCTAACTTAAAGTAGGTATGCACAAGTTTTGTTGTTAGGAGTAGGTTTAAAAGCTTTAATTTAATTTGAACCATATTCAAAAATTATTTAGTATATCTATATTTATATGACCATATTAACACACTCTTCCAAATAATCCAAAATACTTATTTATTTTGATCAAAATAGATTTTTCTAACCTTAAAATTTCAAAATTGGATGATATTTTTTGGTATAATATATTAACCTACCTTTGATACACATATTCTTATTCCATAATAGAGAAGCTAGATTTTTTTAACAAATGCCGTTTAGTTAAAACTATTTTATGGATAAAACCATATATAATATATTAACATATTATGTAGACCAAATGCACAAAAATTTTACTTATTTACTTATTACTTTTACTTATTTATTTATTTACTTTAGAATTTCATTAAATGCAGTATTTATACTCCTAAACTCTTAAACCAACCATTGTTACTGTGATACTCGAGGGGGAAACCACCTTCCGCAATACGTGTACATTTGGCCCGAAATCACTCGCAATCGCCGAAATCCTTACCCGCAATCCCGCAGTCACTTCGCAATCGCCGAAATCCCTACCCGCAATCCCGCAATCGCCGAAATCCCTATCTGCAATCCCGCAATCGCGGAAATCCTATACTTGCAATCCCGCAATCGATCGAATTCGACGATGATGGGGGTATAAATCGGCAACGCCTGCGCTCTGCAGCCATTTGCATAAGATTGGCGGAAGGTATACGTTGGTACCTATGCATTTTAAAAAACAATTGTTTATAGTGTTTGTGAATTTTGCGATTTAGGCTGAATCATTCAGTACATGTGGTAAGACTGGTTAGTACATATCAAAATTAGATACTAATCTATTACGCGTATTTCGCCCCGTTAGGGATTCCATCGAAACGAGACAAAAGAATGCCCCCTCTCGCCGAGAATCTCTCTCGATTTTTCCGGTACTTAAAATCAAACAGATATTTATTTAATATAGATATACCGCAAGCTATACATAGGGAAAATACATTGTAGGTGGACCAGACAAGTTGAAGTCAGCGCAAAGCGAAAAAGTTCTCAGAAATTATTTGGACGTAATAAAATTTTAATCGCCAGTAAACAAGGTCACCTGTTACGTCGCATCTTAGTCTACTAATCCACTCCTACAATGTATTTTCCCTATGTATAACTTGCAAATGAAGGTACGGTAGAATTCCATATCACCACGCATGTACGTACTGTGCACCTTTGATTTATTTGCCGCCGTTAATATAAATTTCCTGAAATAGTAATTCTGTATAACACATTAAAAATACCTACTTGTTTTAAATTTTAAAGTAATCGCAAATGTTTTTAAATATAAGATTTGAGAAAAATATGTTATTGATGAATAAATTAATTGAAGACACTAGTGAATAAAGCGTCTAAGTGACAAAATTTTGACACTTTGTTTTTTGGTTTGGTTTTTTAATTATTGACAAGTATGTGTAATACACACATTGTGTATGTGCATTTTTTTATAAATTATTGACATTAATAAAATTAATGAATAGAATAATGATTTTTAGTAACTGCTTAAACAATCACTAAACAGACACTAAAACAGTTAAGAGCCAATGGTTGGTTTTGTGTGTATGTGGTTTTTGAGGTCACTCATTAGGAATTTGGTATCCATTTTTCTAAAAACAAAATGGCTGATCTAATATGGCGGACATTTGTCGTTCAGATTTGGATGAAATTTTGTATAAAGATATTTTTGGAGTAGCTGATTATGAGTTTTATATAATTTTTTTTTAACAAAATTGCGGATTCAAAATGGCAGATATCTGTGCGCAATAAATACTAGATGACCGTACCTATGCGCAGTGGTTACCAGATGACTGTACCTATGCGCAGTAGTTACTAGATTACCGTACCTATGCGCAGTAGTAAGGTGCACTTTCGGCGTAAAAAGTTTTACTTTTACACAATTTTTTTTATTTCGTGTTTAAATTTCAACAGAAAAAAGTTTTGTACCAATTTTATCCAAAATATTTTTTTGTGTTTTAATTTTATAGCTACTTCGAGAGAAGAGTATTCTCGTCGAGACGTGGACCCATTTTCTCTCCCTGTACGAGACGAGACAAAAGAAACACTTCTCTTCTTTTCTCGTTCCGCGACATCACTACGCAACGTCAACAAAAATTAAGTCTAATTATCGGCGCACCAGACCCGTTTTTTGTTTTTTTTTACTTTAGCGGTGTTTTTATGTCGGTTTTTATTCTGGCGACTGTTTAACTAAAATAAAAATGAATTAGTCCAAAGAAAAAAAATTCGACTATTTTTCAGTTGGTCCCATTTTTGACACTTTTTGGAGGGTAGGGAAGTTATTATCAGAGATAAGAGTTTTGCGGTTTTTACTTCAATGTCCTATTTTTTTCACGAAACAAAAGATCCCGGTGTCAAATTTGCCATAGCCTTCTTAATTCGTATTCTACAGAGTAATACTAAAAATTACCAGTGGTATGGAATGTGCGCAGAGAATTAAAAAAAAGTTTCATGGCTTGTAAAATCCTCATATATTTTTGAGAGGTTCTGACACTGATTTTCTTTCGTTTAAAGAAAGGTTTTTGAAAAAAAATCAACATGCTTCTTCTAATTAATAGCCATGAATATTTTTTTTTAAACGCCAAAAACAAATAAACAGGACATTTCGATAATTAGAATTAATTACTAAATGACGACATAAAAAAATGAGCTGCAAAAAAAGTACCCACCTACATTTGACACCAAGTTATGATTTCTATTTACGTCGATTTATTTATTTTTTTATTAGAAAATGGAAGTTCCTCAGGAAGTTTTCGAATCAAGTAGTGAAATACAAAATTCCAAAGTTAAAAGATCAAAATGTAAAACTATAACAATTTTTAAGGCATGATTTTAAGGAAACGGTTCATCTGACAGAAAAGTTCGTTTTTACCTTTTTTGTAGAGCATTCAATTTTCTTCAAAAAATATTTTCGAGTAAATTTTGTTAAACTCAAAGGTTTGGGTTGAGAGTTCTGGGACAAAAACTTGCTGAGGAAAAAAAAATTAAAACTGCGATGATAGACCTCTTAATATTAATATTATGGACTCAAATTTTCACAATATTTTTTTTGTCACCCCAAACCATATTTTCGATATACTTTTCAAAAAAAAAATAGTTGATTTTTTTGGCCCAGTCTAATGTAGCCCCTATTCAATTTTTAAAATATTCATTTTTTGTTCCACCCTAATGTTTACTTTTATAAAACTACTTAAAAGGTTAAAATTAAAATAATAAAAATATTTAAACAGTATAATGGTTTTTTTAGACTTGCTAACTGACTTTTTTCTTCCTTTTTTTGCTTTAGTGAGTTTAAGAAACTCAATACCTTTATGCTTAAAAAATAAGGTAGGTAGATTTTGTACAATTAGAGGGGATTGTCCATGTCACATTATAACATCTTGCGACATGGACGTCATATAGACTCTTTTTGCACAAATTAACTACCGAATCAAGCTAGCAATCATGTCTACAATTCAACCCTACCCAACGGAAATCGTCTCACAATCCCATTGCAGCCCTGCAATCACTAATTTCATGTCGCAATCCTCCAAAATCCCAACAATTTATAAAGAATTCTCTGAAATCACCGCAATCATTCCGAAATCATGGGATTTCGGTCGCAATCCTCCGAAATCGCAACAATTTATAAATAATTCTCCGCAATCATTCCGAAATCATGGGATTTCGGTCGCAATCCTCCGAAATCGCAACAATTTATAAAGATTTCTCCGAAATCACCGCAATCATTCCGAAATCATGGGATTTCCGCAATACGTGTACATATTTTTTGGAGGTGGTTTCCCCCTCGGTGATACTATAAAGATTTATAAACTTTTAACGCTTAAACATAAACGGTAACAGTATAAATATTATTTCTTGCATTGACTATACTTTGACAGATACATAACCTGAAAAGCCTTAAATGACAAAATATCAAAAGACTGCGTTCCGTACGTGGTCACGTGGTGGGACTTTGAAGTGTGGAGCATAGTACCTATCTCAAAAACAAAAGATTATAAGTCAAATTTCTTCTTAGATTATTGATGGGCATGAAAATGCACTATTTTTTCCTAGTTCAACCAACTGGTTATATATCTCTAGATAAACTGCATATCCATGCTTGGCCTAGAAGAACAGACAACCTGTATATATACAGGTTGTCTGTTCTTCTAGTATATATACCTAAATTATATTTAAATACATACCGATACATACACAAAATATTCAGATACAATATTTATTTATTTATAAATGTATTCGATTTAGTGCAGTAATACAGTAAATATTATTACACAATATAATACCTATATAAAAATAGTATTTGTCTCGATTTGTCATTAGGCCAAAAATTGAGTCTTAAAATTTTTTAATATAATTTAGTATAGGGTCGTTTTGAGGGGTGGTGAATCCAGTGCCGTGCTTAGATTTTCTTTAAAAAAAATCGGTAATTAGCTAATTAGCTATAGCTATTATAATATTAATATGAATTCTTAAAAATTTACTCTTAAAAACTGCGCAAAAAGGCTGGAAACACCCTGTAGGTACATAATATATAAAATAAGAAGAGATATCGAAAAAAATCCAGCTTGCATGGTTTTAAAAAGTAGGTAATTCTTTTGACAAAAATTTAAGAATAAAATGCATTGTTGCTGATACTTATACTGATCAGTAAAATTGATATAATAGATGTAGGTAACCACAATCCATTGTGGATGTAACATTGTTTTTTTCAATGGAACACCCTGTAAATTTTTGAATATTTGGATAGTTTATTATTTTAATTCCAAAAATATATAATTTTTTCTTCAAATAAAGATTTTAGAGGGGGAATACCCTGTACATATTTACATACCTATGGGCATTTTTAATAATACATAATCGACATAATCATTATTGTGTTAACTATATATAGGTAACAAAAAAATCATTTTTACCCACAAAATTCAAAATGAAAATTTTTATTTTTAAATTTAAATATTTACCTACAAATATCTTTGTAGTTATTAGTAGGTAGTTTATATTTATATTTAGCACGTGTTTAAAGAGGACCCCTTTTTAAACTTGGCAGTGATTATTCACCTGTAGAAACATTACCGTGAACCTGCATATGTATACGTAGGGGGATTATGTTTATCAGGGTAGAGCGTTGACCTGTAGTTCCTACCAAAAACTATAGTATACCTTCCTTCACTATAGAGACTGGGGTTAAGATTTAAATTCCCTCTTTTTGGTCATAAGATAATAACATTATAGGATAATAAAAACTAGTACTTATGTTCGGCTTTAATTAAATTATGTTTAATCTGCTTACAACCGGGAGGTTTAACATTCTAGTTCTCCTATTAAAAGCTTGAAGTAAACAAAACTAAACGCCACATACCTTTGCATCATCGCAGATTATAAAATCCAGTCTTAGACGAAAAAAATAGCCATACAACTATAGCACATGATCCCAAAAACAAACTACGGGGGGCGGATCAAAGAAGAAGAAACATTCATTCACAAATCCACAACACCCTCAAAAAGTACCGCACAACTTTTTAATCACACAACGTTTAGGTTTTTAATCACAAATCGTAGTTTTATCACGAAATTATCCGTTTTTAAAGCACGTTTTACTAATTACAATTAAATATCGGCTCGGAAGACAAAGAACATACACTGGAAAGCTCACAGCTTGTTTCGGCGACTGCTTCTGACAGAAACAAATGTTGATGTTCTCCGGCATTCATTAAAATCAACGTGCAAGACAGAGACAGAACATCAAACATGCGTACTTTACCCTCTACCAATAATACACCATTATCGATGGTTACGCTATCTATTATTTGTCAACCTAACTAAGCAATAGAAATACAGACAACTCTCATTTTACCAACGAAATTTTTATTGGTTATATACAATTCAAAATTGTAGGTTATTTAAACATAAATAGAATAATGCTGCCAGTTTTAAGAAGAACCATTCAAAGTTGCAATGTTATTCAAAATAAACCTACAAGATGTCAATTATCAACACTATGGCACCCCATAGCAATATCTCCAATAAATCAAATCCCAGTTCGCTACAAAAGCAAAGGTGGTAAGAAAAAAACCCAATCTTCAACAGATACAGAAACCGAATCAGAAGATAAGGATATTTTAGACGAAATAACAGATAAGAACATGCGGACATTGAAAATAAACGTAAATTCTCTACGAGTTGACGGCATATTAAAAAGTGGTTTGGGGATTTCAAGAAATAAAATAGAAACAATGTTTTACGAAAGCAAAATCAGGTTAAACGGTGAAAAGTTATTAAAGAAGAGTGTGAATATTAAGGACGGTGATGAAATTGATGTTATTAAGGGAGTTAATATGAACAATCCAAAATATTTAAATGTTGCTCGAATTGAAGTTTTAGGGGCTGCGGAAAAGGGGGAGAATATAAGTGTCAAAATAAGAAGAAATAAATCATTGTTAATAGAAAATTATAATGATAAATGGGTGCCCTAATATGTAAGAGTAAATTTTTGTTGTTAATATATTGTTATATCTTTAAAGAATAATAAAACTTGGTTTTAATTAATAAATAATTTATTTACATAGACTGTATTTGTTCAGCATGCTTATAAACTAAAATAAATTAATAAAAAACCTACAGCAAAAAATAAAAGCAATGGTAAAGCTAATGTATTAATAAAATATTTATAATAAATACATAGGTATTTTGGGTTTTGTTACTTAACTAAAAAATTTTGACTCATTTTATTAAGAAAATAAATATATTAGCTATAATATTGTCATTGTAATACTTTAGTGGTTCTATGAACTGATTATGTTTAATGAAACTAAAAGCATTTTTGACTTATTAAGGTTTTAGAACCTCTAAAATGATCCCTAAATAAATCTTAACCACTATTACAATTTGTTTACTTAGTTGGAATTATAGCAGAGCTTAAGTCATTCACCAAAAAGTTATAAATAAAATCCGACTTTCCACGACTAGCTTGCGGTTTTGAGTTAAGAATTTTGTCCCTTAAAAGTGCATCCCCAAAAATAAGAGCCAAAGTTTTGGCATCAAATCCATTTTCGTTTGCGTGCTTTAATAGTTCTTGCAAAAATAGACAGATGTACAGAAAAACGTTTCTGTGCAGGTCTGGAAGCTTCTGGATAATAATCTAAAACAAATTAAGTGTTGTTTATTTATAAATATATCCATAATAAAAAATTAACAAAAAAGTTTCCGATAATACAATTATAATAAAAAAATATTTAAAATGGCATAAAACCTGTAATATTTGGATTTTTTAAATAAAATTTTAAATTTGTTTATAAATTTTAGTAGATTATAAATTGCACCACTTTAATTTGAATTATCTTAAATAGGGGGGCCTGGAGGCGGGTGAGGCGACAGGAAAAACTAACTTTTTTTCGCATACTTTAATTTAAATTCTGTTTGCGCCGAACTTGTTTATTTAATGCCATTATAAACTATTATAAATTTGGTGTGGGTCCCATGTCTAATAACTGAGATATTGGTATACATAAAATCCACCAGCCGCCACTGGGAAGAATAAATAAATTATTATATACTATGAGTAAGTAAATAAGTTGAAAATTCACTACTGGGCAAATTAATATTACGCCGTGACTAGAAGTACACTGGGAGTACGGGCATTAAACGTACTTCAGGTTTGTTTCCATACCAGCTGATGGTAAAATTTCGGATTTATTAGTTGAGATTAAATTGGTACAACCCAAAGGCCCAGTTGTATAACAGTTGGTAAACAGCTGGTTAACTCTTGATATTAATTATGTAATTATTAAGCTAACTTTCAAGTTGTATAAACATTGATTAAAATTTAATTAAGTGATTGAAATACAATTAACAACAAAATTAATGAAATGTCAGTATGAATTACCAAAACCAACCCAAACTCAATAACCCAACCCAACCGACCCCGCCCCATTGAGCGACCATTTAATATATTATACAATTGACAAATATGCTAAATAAGGATTTTTTTCCACCCGGTGTACGTTTAATGGCGGTACTCCCGGTGTACTTTTAGTCACTTTGTTAATTTTAATATTATAAAATTGGAAAAGGTAAGGTTAAACCAGCCAGGCAGATGTCAGATTGGGAAAAGTGTCTGACAGATGCCAAATGTTTAATTACACTGTAGGGAGGTGAAAATATCACAGCTAAACTCTCGGAAACGTAAACTTAATTTTTGATCGTAGATTACAAATCCGTGCTTGGTTTAGCTGTATCATGTCAAAATTCAAAGATATTTAATCTTCAAGTTTTGTAGCATCCCATTAGGAAACACCCTGTATAAATTTAAAAAAAAATTAATTGGACTGGACCCCCTCATCAGTTCCGAATAAAAAAAACAAATTCTTTCAAAATTTGGGGTTAATTAATTGATCAAAAGGTTTAGATAAATTAGGAAATTTAAAATGTTTTTTTTATTGAGTATAATTGACGATATTATATTATATTAAACGAAATAAAAAGCAAAGGAATGTTGGCACAAGAGGTGAAATATATTTTTTTTTAAATTATAATATACCAGTATACATTGTCCTTGGATCGGATTGCCAAAAGGAAAAACCATAGAAAAAGGGCACCTGGTACAGACCTGATAGTAATACTATCATAGTATCAGGCTGATACAGCTAAACCGAGCACGGATTTCCCTATTAAAAATGCCATATAGAAACACAAAATAAAAATCTATCTGGTTCAATATAGGAATTTGAAACAGGCATTGCACTATTGAACCAGATAGAATTCCATACCAGGAAAACCATATAGAAAAGGGATTTCTATATGGATTGCCATATAGGTTCATATTGCTCTATCTGGCCCAATATGGTTTGGGTGTGAAAAAATTATTACCAAATAGATCCATATAGGGGAATCTATATGGTTTAATATGCAATTTTCGTTTAAATATACAGGGTGGTCCAAGATTAATCTGAAAAATTTTAATGATCGATAGAGCCTGAAAAAACAATAAAAACAAACCCAAAAACATTTTTCAAAAATATATATACTAACGGAGATATAGTCCTTCAAAATAATTTTTAAACCATCAAACCGATTCTTCTTAAATTTTGTGTAGGTTAAGCTTCCGTCGATAATATAATGAAAATTTCCTACAAAAGGCCCAGTGGCGGAGATTTTGGAAGGGGTTTCCCCTTTTTACCCTCATATTTTTGACGCCACTGGATTTTATTAGAAAATCATCAGATTTATTTTTATCCTTTTTCAATCTAAAAGCAAAACTTTTATGTTTATTTTTTATCAGATCAATGGTTTCGAAGATAAATATTTCAGTTTAAAATTTCAAAAACACTGTGTACCCGGAACTTTTGTTACTATTTTAATAATAAAAAATTATTTTTTTTCTGAACGATTGTATTTTGCCAATAAAAATTTACCAATGAAATAATGGAATAATCGCTTTCAATAGGGTGGTTTTTGGGTTGGTTTGATTTTGTATTATAATACAATTAAATTATTAATTACAGACGTTCATTGTAATCCTCAATCAACGTTACAATAAAACAACCTAAAAATATGACGGGTTCAGTAACAACTGCACGATGACTCCTGGACGCTACTTTATTTTTAAAATATTTTATAAACTGATAACGTGGCATAATTGTTACCAAGTTACCGATTTAAAATAAAATATGATAAAATTCCGTGTACTCGGTGTTTTTGAAATTTTAAAGTCTCCGAAATCACTAATCTTTTGAAAATTTAACACACAAGTTTTGCTTCTAAATTGAATAAGAAATCTGATTATTTTCCAATAAAATCCATTTTGACACCACTGCAGTGGAATCAAAATATGGGGGTAAAAAGGGGAAACCCCCCCAAAATCTCCGCCGCTGGGCCTTTTGTAAGAAATTTTACCTACACAAAATTTGAGCAGAAGTTATTAAAAAAAAAACGTTTTTTTGCCTTTGAAGGGCTATTAGTGTGTTAGTGTGTATTTTTAAAAAATGTTTTTGGGTTTGTTTTTATTGTTTTTTCAGGCTCTATCGATCATTAAAATTTTTCAGATTAATCCTGGACCACCCTGTATATACATTTTAAAATTGAATTCCATATTCAACCATATAGGGAAACCTATATGGAAAAACACATAAAACAGAAACCAGATAAATCCATATAAAAATCCCTAAGTTGTACATTTTAAAATTAAATTCCATATTAAACCATATAGATTCCAAAGTGTAAACCAGGTCGTTCCATATAGGACATATAGAACCATATAAATCCATATTAGTTTCCTTATCTGGATCAATATGGGTTCTGTAGGGCATTTTTAATAGGGTTGGAATCTACGACCAAAAATTATGTTTCGCGTTTTCGAGCGTTTAGGTGTGATATTTCAAGAGTTAAAAAATTACCTACAGTGTTATTTGGCTTTAAATTCTAAAAAACATTACTTTGTGTTCGTCGTAGATAAAGTATAGTATCCAACTCGTTTTTATTAAACCCTCGCTCCTGCCTAAAATGTCGTTTATAAAACTTGTTACATTATAACATATGTACTATTAAAGTTGTCCTTTAATTTTAACCATTTATTTTTTTCTAAAATCTCACAGGAAAGTATGTGCCAGATTTTTTTACGCATTTCGCTTTATTGGCAATTAATTTTTTAAAAAAGAATTGTGAAGATTTTGTTTTATTTAATTGTTTTTATAAATAAATAACCGTGCTGCCAATGTAGTAAAAAAGTTGTTTTTAATTAATAAACTTATACCTTATTACAAATTAAAGTATCATTAAAAACTAAAAACAACTTAGAAAGTATATAAGTAACAATATAAATTGATTGTTTCCAAACTTGAGAAACAAATTAGGATTATGTTGATTAGGGTGGGCCAAAAAAAACTTTTAATTTTCTTTTCTTTAGCTACCATGAAAATATCGTCCAAGATGAAGAAAAAAAAATTCTGTTTTTTTGGCCCACCCTAATGTTGATATCTTTAAAAATGTAGGCTCCATGGCTAAAACTTTGAGTAGTATAGTACTATAGTAGGTACTATAGTATGGATATTTATTGGTAAACCAAAAGGCTACTGACCGAGGTATTTCTGCCCTAAAACTTTGAGTATTTAGTTATTTATGATTATTTTTTATGGAAAACTTATGAGAGCTCGTGAGATACAAAATAAAAAAATGCCATATGAAAACAAATGTAACTTTAAAAAATATTTTCTTGGAATCTGTACTGTAAAAAAGTTTAAAATTATTTGTGAATGTGTCTGATGCCTAACAAAATCATTTATTAAATTTTGAAGACATTCTATGGAAACTCTTCAAAAGAAGACTAAACTTCTTCACTCAACGATCCTAGCTTAAAACAATAAATTAACAAATTAAAACTAAAAAAATCATTTACAATTTTAGGAATTCTGATCCATATAATAAATAATTATTCATTGTTTTAAAAAACAATCTTTTGCAGCTTTTAAGAAATGCTAGAAATCTCAAATTTAAATATTAAGGAATAGACCTGTGCAAAAAATGTTTGGCACTGGACTTTTTTCTGTGCGATTTCAGTAAATTTCAATCTGACCCAGATGGTAAAAATCAAGAAATTCGAATTACGCAATAAAAATTTTTGTTTTGTTTTTTTCCGCAACTTTTGATAATTAAACGTTATTTTTTAAAATTTGTACCTGTTTGCAATTTTGGTAATTTCTAGCGGACGCAATGCATGCATCGTGTTGATCATAAGGAATTACAGGATCCTGGGTGTGAGTTAAAAATAACAGTAAAGACTCTGCTGCCGCCTGTACACTTCCCGCTATAAAAATGTTAAGGAAAATATCACTAATATTAACAAAAACTATATTACTTCAAAATATGTAGTAAGAGTTTTAGTATACCGATTTTTTATTTAGTTTTGCTTAAAACATCACAAATTTTGCTTAAAAAAGGATACGCATAGGATCTTGTGAACCAAAATCCAACCAATCCCTAATGCTGACAAGCTCACTTAAAGAACTTGATTCAAATAAATCTTTGGTTTTCAATCCATGCCTGTATAAGTGATCAACCAATAAAAATATTTCCCTTGGTATGCAGTATCTTATTGGCAATTCCAAACTTTCCTATAAGAAAAACACATTTCCTTAATTTTTAATTTTGAAATACATTTAAGAGAACTTACTGCTTGTTTCCATTGTTCTTCATTAAGCTTCATTATGGGAAATGGAATTCTACATAACATGGAAATAGGAGAAAAGAAACAGGATTTTTGCACATTCCCATTTAAAATTATAAACATGTCTTTTCCTCCTTTTAAATGCAATACCAAAATATCATACAATTTAGACAGGTTTGTTTTTAGAGTAACTTCGAGTTTTACGTCGCATTTTTCGCCTGGAAAAAAGAAATAAATGTTATATTAACGACAAATATTCGTTTTTATTCACCAGGGTTTATACTGCCATAATATGGTAGGATTTTTAACCAGTCCTTGCAGTAACTGTCGTCGTCCAGTTTTTTGATAAACTCAAACTCTGCTGGTACCTAAAAGAACACCCTTTAGCAGGAAAAAATTAAAACATTTAAAAAATAATAAAAGAAAGAAAAAATACAATACAATCTTATGATATTCTTCTTCTCTTTTTCTCACATTTTGTGTACAGTTAAACAGATATAGACCAGGGTCGATAATTTTTGAAACCAAAAAAATAACAGTAGGATGAAACCCATTGGAAAAGGAGAAGAATATAATAAAAATGAAAGGAAAAATAAATTACGGGCGATCTGACTTCGGGAAGTGGGAGGGGGGGGTTTAAGGGTAAAAAATGGTTTATCTCGATTTCCGGCAAAACTACAAGTCCTATAGAAAAAAGTTAAATGGCAAAGTTGTAGGTAATAAAAGGATCTACAACTTTTGTAATTACAATTTTTTTACATAACCTCAAAATTTATGTGAAAAATTCAAAAAACCAAGTTTTTGGTTTTTTATTTTTATCTTTTTCAAAAAAATTTGTTTTTCACGAAATTTGGTGAAAACTTACCTTTTTATGTCCCAAATACACTGTAATTTATTTGATTTGAAATATTTATTATTTCGCCTTATTTTGACTTAATATCAAAAAAGCACCCTAATTTTCAATCGAAAATTCTCGCGTCAAAATATCAGCTTTTTTCAAAAAGTCGGTGTGCTTTTTGTTCGTTGAAATCTCTACTTTCTGATGGTGTAAAAAAATATACATTACTATGGTAAATGTTCTCAGAAAATGCAAAAAATATTATAATGAATAACGAAAAAAACTCGAACTCGAAAATTTATTTTAATCATTATGTACAATTTCATCAAAAAAATGTGATTGTTGCATTTTTTTTTAGTTAAAAAGTTTATTTATTAAATTCTAATAACATTTATGTCAGAAAATCTCATAAAATATAAAAATACATGTAAATCACACTATTGAATTTAGATACTTCATTCTGATTACGTTATTCATTATAATATTTTTTGTATTTTCTGAGAACATTTACCATAGTAATGTATATATTTTTTTAAACCATCAGAAAGTAGAGAGTTCATCGAACAAAAAGCACACCGACTTTTTGAAAAAAGCTGATATTTTGACGCGAGAATTTTCGATTGAAAATTAGGGTGCTTTTTTGATATTAAGTCAAAATAAGGCGAAATAATAAATATTTCAAATCAAATAAATTACAGTGTATTTGGGACATAAAAAGGTAAGTTTTCACCAAATTTCGTGGAAAAAATTTTTTTTTTGAAAAAGATAAAAATAAAAACAAAAACTTGGTTTTTTGAATTCTTCACATAAATTTTGAGGTTATGTAAAAAAATTGTAATTACAAAAGTTGTAGATCCTTTTATTACCTACAACTTTGCCATTTAACTTTTTTCCATAGGACTTGTAGTTTTGCCGGAAATCGAGATAAACCATTTTTTACCCTTAAAACCCCCCCCTCCCACTTCCAGAAGTCAGATCGCCCGTAATTTATTTTTCCATTCATTTTTATTATATTTTTCTCTTTTTCCAATGGATTTCATCCTACTGTTATTTTTTTTGGTTTCAAAAATTATCGACCCTGGTCTAAAAGGATGATATCCAAAATGTAAATCAGTTAGAAGACTGATTTGTGTTCTTACCACTCCCGTGTTGGCGATGATCAGCTCCTGGATTTGCGGCTCCTCGAACTTAACCAAATCGAAAGCGATCTCGGTCTTGTCTATGGTCACCTGCGGCAGGTACTCGTTCTCCTGCTTGTCCATCGTCCTGAGCAGATCCTCGTGGATTTCCTTGTACTTTGCTTCGTCGATCACGCTGATCTCCGAGACGAAATATGCGCTGACCGGCTTGTGATCGCTCATGCTCAACTTCATGTGGCTAGTGTACTTTACCAGGTGGATGTATCGGCCTAAAATAACGAATCAATCACTGCACTGTTTGGTTGATGCACGCAAACACAAACAAAGTTATTTTTTACAGCGTTTTGGATTTCCTTTCATCGGTTACTGATTTACGATTACTAAATTTACATTGAAATATTGCACATATTGGTTTGTGATCGCTAATACCATAGTTCATGAAACTGGAATACCGCAAATTGGTAATTCCACTACCTAAAATTGTTCAACTCTTATTTTTATCTGCTCTTTGTAACATTTAATTTCCGCTAGCAAAAAAGATAAGAAGCAAACATCGAAATTGTATTGTCTTTGTTTACGAATATTTGTTTGAACACAATGAGAAATCGTAAACATGACGTAAAGTTGTGGTTTTTACCTTTCCATAAAATCCTGTCTGTCCAAGCAGGCGGTCTGGCTTTTTCACTAGTGTCGTAAATATTAGAGTTAACATCAAATTTGTAAGTGGGTTGAAAAGTTATTTCACCTTCTTGGAAACCCTTAAATTAAAAAATAGTAATAAAAATAACTACCTATACAAAACAATCGTTTCCGGCTAAAAGTTAGGTACGCTCTTTAAATCGTAAAAGATGAACAATACGAAAATCGTAGTGCCATTTATAGATTCCCGTACAGGAATATTTAAACAGCACAACGGTTTTTGTATTGTTCATCTTATATGGGGAATTCCTTCCTCCCATAGAAGATGAACAATACAAAAACCTTAAGGAAGAAAGGCAATCTATAGGCTTTAGAGTAGCGTCGATCGATAGAAATGTGGTGACGATAGTTCCAGGAATAGTAAGAATGTTTTCTTATTAAAATTACAAAATATAGTGTTAATATAAAACAAAATTAACTTGGCGCCCCAGCAAACACATAAGTCTGATTATGTAATGGTCCATTATATATAGGTATATAATGGACCATTATATAATCGGACTTATGTTTTTCATGGATTAAAATGGCATTTTTAGTCAAAGCCCAAGCTTTCCTCGTACTGGGCTATAGCCCAGTATATATGTTTTAATAAAATTATTAATTTTGATAAAAGCGTTGAGTGATAATCAATGATAAAAGGCTGTCGTGATAATGTCTTGCAATGGCCCTTTTCAGGCTAATATTTGTATATTTTGCCATAAAAGACCCATATATGGCAATTTTCAGTATCAAGTTAATGGAAGTGCCAAATGTTTTCTGTATATAAAACTTACATGAACCTTTAATTATCCTTTGGTTAACGCCATATTTTAAAAATGACGCCCTGGTTAATTCCTATAGTTTTAATAGTGTGTTATACGGTATAACTTATACGGTATAACTTATACCACATAAATAATAATACCTAATGGTTGTTAAATTTAAATAAGTAATTAGGTGCATTTTTTATTTTACAAATTTAAGAACTCTTATTACAGACAAAATACCGCCCAAAAAATTAGTAGAAATGTTAATTGATAAGGTCAAAATTGGGGCAATTGCGAATAAAGAAAACCTGGTTTTCTTTGTTATAGAGGACCTACCAAAAAAATCAAGTAAACTTATTTGTAAATATACATTTTAATTTTATATATTTTCGATTTAGTTTAGAAATTTGATTTATTACCTAATCAACAGTTTTTAAAATAAAATGTTTGTTTTACTTATACAGTTCTATCAGGGCCGGATTAACCACAGGGCCATTGGGGCCATGGCCCCGGGGCGAAATCCCAAAGGGGGGCGCACGCCACGCCGACCGTTCCCTTTTGGGCGGCGCGCCAACTCTATACGAGTTGGCGCGCCGCCCAAAAAATGACATATTACAAATTGTAATAGTAGAAGAGAAGCAACCAATAATTACTAAAATAGTCATATCAGTAGATCAAATCTACTACATTGGATTTAAATACACTTTAGTACATTTGTTCTAGACTGGCAACACTGTTTACAGTTTTAAACAAAAGTTAATGCGCGAAAGTATAACCCCTATATTATAAGTAAATAGATTTTCGTAAGTAATATCATAAGGGCATTTAATTTTTCCGAAAAGAATCGAAAAAACACGTTGCTAAGTGATATTTTAACAAAAAGCATGAGTGCTGGTGGCAACAAAAATCCGAGTCGAAGAGGAGGATTTTTGCACCTGCACGAATGCTTTTTGTTAAAAAATATTACTTAGCATTGTGTTTTTTCGATTTTTTTCACAGGAAAAATTAGATGCCCGAATGATATTTGACAAGACTATTTCATGAGTAACAGTTAACAATTAAAATATAAATTGCAATTTTTTGTGACAACAGCTGCTGTCAAGTTTTACCGCGGGTAAACTCGAATAAACTGCTGACAGGTGCTGTCACACAGTTTTTTCACCTAGAAACCATTTGTAATTCAAAATTGCGTGTTTGTGATTGGAAATAGGGAAATAGTCATAGAAATCACAATATTTATAAACATTGCCAGTTTTTGCAGTTCTTTATAAACTTGTGAGTTGAAAACGTATACATTGGCGGTTTGTGTTTTTAAAACATTTAGACAAATAGTGTATCTAACTGTTGATGCTGTTTCTGGTGTTAGATTAAAATTTAGTATTTAGTTTGGTGTTTATTAAAAAGTTATATTTATTTATCCTTTCAACACAGAGGATTCTGTGCCTTTTAATAAAGACTTTAAGACAAATAAAAGTGGCGCGACCCGTAGAAAAAATCTACAAATTGAAGAAGAGAAGACAGAAGAACTTTTGAAAAAAGTTCCAAAATTGGATCAATTTTTCAAAAAAAAAAAAATAAACCCTTCTCTTGACCCTGCTACATGGCATGTTAATAAGGAATTTATTGAATATTTAATAAAAATTCCTTTTACACATATTTTATACTAAATTTATAAATTTATAAACGGTGAAATTGTTCGCAGAGAGTGGTTATTGTATTCTAACTTAACTAATATGGTTTATTGTTTACAATGTAAATTATTCGGATCTACTAAGCAGACATTATTTGTCGATGGGTTTAATAATTGGAAACATTTGGAAAGACTTGGTGAACATGAAAAGTCAGCAGGGCATAGAGAAAATACAAAAACTTATATATTAGGATCAAAAACTCTTGCCAAAATAGACATTGTTATAGAAAAACAGTACCTTGCGGAAAAGGAATATTGGCAAAATGTTTTAAAAAGGTTAATAGCCGCTGTGAAGTTTTTATCAAAGCAAGGATTAGCATTTCGGGGAAGTTTTGAAAAAATAGGAGAAGAAGGATGTGGAAATTATTTAGCCACGCTCGAATTAATTGCAAAATTTGATCACTTTTTAAAAAATCATTTAGAGAAAAAGGCAAATAAGGGAAGAGGCCACACTTCTTATTTATCCAAAACTATATGCGATGAATTTATTGACATAATGGCAACTTTAAGTACAAAAAAAAATTATTGAGGAAGTAAAGCATGCTAAATATTATTCAATTAGCGTTGATTCTACCCCGGATGTTTCTAATATAGATCAGTTGAGTTTTATTTTACGTTATGTATTACCTGATGGATCGATAGTTGAACGATTTATAAAGTTTGTAAGTAAGGTTGGACATAAGTCTTCAGAAATGGAAACTGCTGTTTTACAAACATTAAATGAACTTTCTCTAAATATAACAGACTGTATGGGTCAAGCTTACGACATTGCCTCCCGAGGGGTTATTCACTAGGGGAAAAATGTGACAAGATTTCGGATTTCGAGCGATTTCGAAGGATTTCGAAGGATTTCGGGAGATTTCGAAGGATTTCGAAGGATTTCGGGAGATTTCGGCGATTTCGATCGTCAGTGAGTAGGGATTTCGACCAACTTCACTAAATTATTATAGGTCTAAAAATACCTCGGAACGTATTACATATTTTAAGCTTACTAAAAAAACCTTATTATCTAATACATACTTTTTTAAAACACTCCTTTCAGTATATTAGTATATTCGAAAGTATATTAAATAACGAACGTTGAAAGTGACATTTTCCACAGGAGTGTGGAATAATTTAACAATGTTTTATAGTGCCAAAATAATATTAAAATAAACCAAAACAATTCCATCCTTACCTTAAAAATTCTTAGGACGAAAAACTTGTTTTCAAGGTACAAGGTATAAAGGTACAAGTATAAATTATAAATTACTATTATTTATTTATTTTATAAGTAAAAAAAACACTTTATTTCTGAAATAATATAGGCACGCCCAGGTGATTAGCTATCAAAAAAACAAAAAATATTAATTGTTTTATTATAAGAGTAGTTGTCAAAGAAAAACTCCTTAAAAACAAAAATAATTTTTATACTAGGTAAGCCGTAAGTGTAACGTAATAGTTATTTACGATATAAGTGGGATAAGAGCTTTATTAACGTACGCATGCGAAATTTGCCCAACGAGTGCGTAGCACGAGTTGGGCAATCGCAAAAGTACGTTAATAATGCGTTATCACACGTATATTGTACAAATTTTTATCTACGCCTCTAAATGAAAAAATAAACGGTAATTATTTTTGTCTTAAGACTTAATTTAGGGTTATTTTGACATTTTGACTTTTTTATTTGATTGGTTAAAAGCAAAGAAAAACGCGTGCGTTAATGAACTTCTTATCTCACTCAAAATGAGTGGGATAAGAAGTTCTTATCTCACTGGCGTAGATAAAGTAATTTAACACGTTCATGGACAGGACTGCAAATGCCGTCGGGCCCAGTATGACACGACGGCTATAGCAGTCGCAATTTTCTAGCTGATTTATGACAAGCCTGTGTAAGTGACGCAGCATTTAATACAAGAGAACCACACATTTGATGATAACTTTAAAATATTACATGAGCCAATAAAGGTACAAAACTAAATCTTCTAGAGTCTTTGGAAATTAATAAACTAAAGAAAAAATATGATATTGTTCTTAATGACCAAATTGAAAATAACAGCTCGCCTCTGCTAAATTTATTTTAGAGTGTATACTTGTAGTACTAAAAAATAATATTTATTAATATTATAATATTATATTAGATTGGACTTTCCAAACCCTTAGTTTTTCCAAAATTATGAAAGTTTCATTAATACCTTCAGGTATAATGTTTATAACATTTTATTTTCTCAAATTACCTGCCATTGCGAATGCAGTTTCGCTAGTTTGTAAACTATCCAGCTTGTTTATAAACACATTAGCCGTGATATACAGGGTGGTCCAGGATTAATCTGAAAATTTTTAATGATTGATAGAGCCTGAAAAAACAGTAAAAACAAACATAAAAACATTTTTTTTAAATGCATACTAACGGAGATATAGTCCTTCAAAATAATTTTTAAACTATTAAACCAATTTTTCTCAAATTTTGTGTAGATTAAGCTTCCGTCGATAATATAATGAAAATTTACTACAAAAGGCCCAGTGGCGGAGATTTTGGGGGGATTACCCTTTTTACCCTAACATTTTCGACGCCACTGGATTTTATTAGAAAATCATCAGATTTATTTTTATCTCTTTTCAATGTAAAAGCAAAACTTTTATCTTAATTTTAATAATACAAAATCAAACCAACCCAAAAACCACCCTATTGAAAGCGATTATTCCATTATTCCATTTAAATTATTGATTATTCCATGTAAATTTTTATTGGCACAATATCTCGTTCAGAAAAAAAAAACATTTATTATTACTATTTATTTTAAAATAATAACAAAAGTTCAGTGTACAGTGTTTTTAAAATTTTAAACTGAAATATCTCCGAAAACAATGATCTTATAAAAATTTAACACACAGTATTGCTTCTAAATCTGATGATTTTCCAATAAAATCCAGTGGTGTCGAAATATGGGGGTAAAAAGGGGAAACCCCCCCCAAAATCTTCGCCGTTGGGCCTTTTGTAAGAAATTTTACCTACACAAAATTTGAGCAGAATCGGTTTAATGGTTTAAAAGTTATTTAAAAAAAAACGTTTTTTTGCCTTTGAATTGCTATTAGTGTGTTAATGTGTATTTTTGAAAAATCTTTTTGGGTTTGTTTTTAGGCTCTATCGGTTATTAAAATTTTTCAGATTAATCCTGGACCACTCTATTTATATATTTTATGCGATTTATGATTCAAAGATCAGCACTTGACACCTCGCTTGACACTCGATTATTGCGAAAGATATCTGAGTCGGCAGAAGGATTTCGGGGGGATTTCGGTGTATTTCGTGGATTTTTAGAGCGATTTCGAAGATTTCGGCGGGATTTCGGAAGGATTTCGGGGATTTCGGGGATTTCGGAAGGATTTCGGGGATTTCGGAAGGATTTCGGGGATTTCGGACGAATTTGTGACAAGATTTCGGGGAGTGGTTAACCCCTCGTTGCCTCCAATATGTCCGGAAAATATTCGGGCCTTTAAGCACGAATTAAAAATCAAAATAAAAAAGCTGTATATATCCCATGTGCCGCTCATTCACTAAATCTAATTGGTTCCTGTGCAGCGGAAAGTTGTTTAAATGCCACCAATTTTTTTATGTTTTAAACGATTTGTACGTATTTTTTTCAGCTTCCACTTTTAGGTGGAACATTTTAATAGATGCTTTAAAAGAATCTAATAAAAATTTAGTTCCCAAAAAACACGCTCTCGAATTACTAATAAATGATAACAATCAAACTCCCACTGTTAGAGCTCAAGCCAGTGGCCTTAGTGATATTATGAATAAACTAGAAACTGGATTATTATTATTTTTGTGTTTAATTCTGTAAACAAAAGCTTACAGGAACAACATATAGATTTATCAGTTGTAATAGATTTGTATAATTCATTGATAGTTTTTATAACTGAACTAAGAAAGGATACTAAATATGATGAATTTGAAAAAATTGGAAAGGAGATTTCAAGTTGTGAAGAATATGAGAAAGAAGTAAAAAGAAAGCGATTTAGAAAAAAAACAATAGATGAAGAAAGCGCAGATGAGGTAACTTTTAGTGGGAAACATTTTATGTTATTTTGGATAATCTTTTATTTGAATTAAATCGAAGAAAGAATGCCTATGAACATGTATTTAATCTTTTTGGATTTTTTAATTCATTATGCGACATCCCTGATAATGTAATATTAACAAAAGCTAAAGAACTATTGTATATATATTCAACAGACTTGGACGAAGATTTTCCAGAAGAATGTATACATTTCAAATATTTTATAAAAAGCTTGAGACAAAAAAAATCTAATACAGAACACATGAAAATGGCTGATATGTTAAAATTAATAAGACAACAAAAAATTATTTCTACTTAGGTATTCAAATATCGATACAGCTTTGAAAATATTTTTAACCATACCAGTAACCAACGTTAGTGGAGAAAGGTCGTTTTCGGTTTTAGGAAGAATTAAAAATTATTTAAGAAACTGCATGGGTGATTTAAAAACCAGTAATTTGTCACTTTTGTGTATAGAAAATACATTGGTGGATTCCTTAGATGAGGAAATATTAATTTCAAATTTTATAAGCTGTAAACTACGAAAAAAAGTTTATTAAAAATTAAATCACGCTTTGGTTTTTTTTTTCATTTTATTTATTTTCTATAAAAAAAATTTCAAAATTTTCGAGGACGAAAAAAATGTGGGGCTTTTAAAAAATTGGGGGGCGCATGAAAACTTTTGGCCCCGGGCGCCACGAGACCTTAATCCGGCCCTGAGTTCTATTACAACATATTGCCTTGTATTTTTTCTTTTAAATTTATGAATGTTTTAGTCTTTTATTTCACGATAATATTAATAGTATTAATTAATGTAATATATAAGTAAAGTATGGTGGATTAAATGTGGTTTCTTTATATTTATTGGGTCGGATATTCCAAGATAATTTTTATCCCTGCCGTCAGAAATTGTATTGTGACGGTAGGGATAACAACTTCTGATTATTTAATAAATATATACCTAACACATTTAATCCACCATAATATATACTTTACTTATCCAATAAAAATTATTTAAATAACCACTATAGAATTTTTAACACCCCATATAAGAAACTTTAGATTGCCACATTTGTACCTTTAATCCGCCATATCAGAACCTTAAGCGCGCCATATCAAAAAATGAAATGGTTCCTCTAAGGACCGTTACATGCCCTATAGAGTTAGCCTTCATAGGGCGTTTAGTTCATTGAAGGCACATTTTTAACAGGCCATTATAGAACCTTTACGGTTGTTTGCTGGGGCCTCTATCTTTTTAGGAAGTAAATACAGAAAGTTTTGCCTATAAACAATCTTGTTGAAAATTTAAAGCGCTACATTTTTTGTTTCATACTTTTTTCGTCCGACAAATAGGAAAGAAGATAAAACAATAATTGAATTATTTAAAACTTAAAAAGGGGGGAAACTAAATATTATATTTATATAATGTATACATTTTAAAAATTTATGAAAATAAATTGTTAAGCTTGATAAATTTTTTTTTTTGAAATTAAGGCAGTTTACTTTTGTATTTGCAATTTGACTTTAAAATAAAATGTGTAATAATAACTTTTGTACATTTATTTCCCATTTTAATTTATAATCCATGATTTAAATATATACATTTTTTACTTACCACAAAAGCGCTTCCTCTTTCTCTTTGCTCATTCAATTGATCATTTTTCAGCAATGCATTAAAATCATTATTATTAACAAGTCTTTTTACTTCTTGAGTTGACATATTATTAATTCTATAATTTAAATCCCCCAACCAAAATATTTGACTAAAACAAAAAAATAATATTTAAAAGAACAAAACATACAATTTACAATATTTACTCATGTTCCTTGACGGTAAGGGGATGCCTTTTAAAATTAACCCTGGATATGATATCCTTAAAATCCTGATTCCTCCTTTCATATTCTTCTACATGAGCTGCCAAGTGACTACACACAAAACACAACATTGTATTGTGCAACATAAATCTTACAGCTACACCACCTTTATTTCCCTAAATAAGAAAATAATTAATTATAAAATATTTATTATTTGATAAAAAGATATTACCATTTTTCCTAATATCCCAGTACCAACAGTGTCCACAGAAACATTTTTAATGCATCCATAATGTTCATTTTTAACAAAAACTATAAGTTGAATGCCAACTAATCTAATAAGTGCCACATTATGATATAATTTTTTGTCATGGTTTATTGTGGAATTTACCAGATTACTAAAATAATTTTGAGATGAGATCCAATGATTTTTACATTTAAATAAAATACTTACTACCACTCAATCTCCCTGGGTGTATCATTGAAAAGAAAAGCTTCTTTACTTAAATCAATTTCTTGAAAACCCACAGCATAAATATCAGGTGGTTTACTCTCACATCTTAACCATTCATGTAATTTTTCAGTGGGTGCCTTGCCATTTACATTCCAAGTACCACAAAAGATACTAAAAAAAATATTATTTTTTAAAAAAACTCACAAAAACCATGTAAAACCTACGTGAATTCTTCTCTTTTAGTATAATCAGGCTCTTTTAATTTTAACTGGTATTTTAATAAAGATTCTCTATTGTTGTTCGTAGATTGCCCTCTTGATGAATTTGGACGAATATTTACTTGAGACTGAAATAACTCCAGTTATTTGTTTTGATAACAAGAAAAATTAGCTTCTTACCTGATCATTCATGTTGTTGTAAGAGTTGGAATGACTAAGGTATAAATTATTTGAATATTTATCACACCAAGACAAATCCAACAATTTATTGCTATCAGAATCTAAAAAGAACATTAGTGGTAGCAGATAAAATAAATTCCTAAAGTATTATGCTTACTTTCTTTGGAGTAAATAACTTGAGAAGCAAAATTAGAGCTTTCCAAACCTATTTGAATCAGGAACTTATATTCAAATTCCTTATAATTTATAATAAAAAATAAATATTTTTGGCTCTCAGGTATAACTTCTGTATCTAAAACAATACATTATTTTAAAATATTATAAAAAATTCCCATAATTACAAATAATAATAGTGTCAATTACAAACTTCCATAACCATGTGTTAATTTCACCTTGACAACTTTTCAAAAATAAGGATTAGATAACAATAAATATTAAGTGAACTCTATCTAAAACTATTGACCAGAACTTAATCAGAATTTGTAGTAATTTTGACAAAACCATCAACATTTTTGGAAACCATGCATGTTAGATTTAAATTGATTATTTTAAATATATTATTTTTCCAATAAACTTTAGCTTAGAGATTTTTTGTCATTAAGATGTTTCATAAGTAGAGTTTTAAAGGCTAAAAAACAGATTTGTGTTTTTTTCTGCAAGGTGAGTAAAAATTGAATTTAAAAAAAATATGATATGCCTTACTAAGTGAAAATAAATTTATAAATAATATAAAAAATACACATCCAATAAGACATTAAACATATCTAAAATTCATTATACATACTAAGTATCTACCACAGGTAGTAGTTACTACAAGGAACATTTTTAAACAAAATCACTAATTTAGTTCCAGACAAAATTGTTGGTTTTAGCTATAAACAAAAAATACAAAAAGCAAACCTACAACCTATTTTCTATTTATTATTACCACATGAAAAGTATTGATCTATTGGAATAGCCCTTTCTATTGATACATCGGTAATGCTCTCTGGTCTCCACTTTTCCGAAATAAGTACAAACAAGCCAAATGATTTGTTACACTCAACTAATGCAAATAATCTATAAAAAGTATTCCAGGGAGCATCAACTAAGGAAACATTTAAATGTATCTAATTGGAACTTAAGGAAAACTAGTGTAAAATATTACTGATTTTAATCTATGAAAAGGATACACATTTAACCACCTCTGGCGATAAAAACTTAGCCTGCACAATATTTAATACATCTTGATGATAAGCTGTCATAACTGTAAGGATAACATTTTGTAAGGCTGCCTTTTACACTATTTACATTTTTTAAGTAACTTCCCCTTGACAGTTAACATAACCTCTTTTTTGTTGTCATACCAACAGAGTCTGTTGAACAGACGACTCTATAATAGAAACTATAATTTTTGTTTTAATACTAGCTTTTATCAATGCTCATTAAAGAAAAATCTGCAATAAAATTTGATATAAACAATACGCTTTGAGCTTTGGTTTAATACCACATTCATTTGAATTTTACCAGGGATAACCAGATTTTACCAGTTATGTTGGCAATATTTTAAACTGTCAGGGCGGCGGATTCAAGGATGATAATATTTATGGAAACAATTTTCAGTTTAATAAAATTACAAGAAAATTCACAATGGAGTGGGTTCATTGCAATAAATGTTATGCGAAATTTGATAATAGCGTAAAATTTTGGCTTACTGAATGTGGACATTTATATTGTGAAGGATGTTTGCAAAAAAACAGTATGTTTTATAATAATTCTATGGTTCGTTTATGGTTGAATTTTGCTTTTAGGGGAGAGCAAACAATGCGTTGTTTGTAATAAGATTTATAAGGGTTTTATGGAGTTATCCAAAAAAATGGATTATTCTATGCAAATGTTTTTTATGCCTTTTGATTCCGTATCAAAGAAAGTACAAGAGGTAACTCAACAAAATTGCTTTTCGTTTTTTAAGACTTGTTCTTGCAGATTTATAATTTTCAAAATCAACAACGTTCCAGATTAATGCAAGTGTTGTATCAAAAATATAATCTTGCTAAAAAAGAGTGCATCAATGCAAATAATATAATTCAAAAGTTGGAAGAGGAGAATAAATTGCTTCGATCGAAATTTCATGTAAGTTTGACGTTTAAAACGTCCAAAATGACATAATTCCCTATGGGTTCACCCACAGAACCAAACCAGGTGCACCCGAGGGGTCAACCACCCAAAGGGAAAACGTCCAGGGATTCCCATGTATTCCCATTATATTTTATTGTATTCCTATGTATTTCCTATGGTATTCCCCCTTTAAAATGTCCAGAGATTCCCAGGTGTGGGTGACCCCTCGGGTGCACCTACCCGGGTAGGTGCCTCATCTGAACAGATATTAAAAAAACTAAATTATAATTTACCCTATAGGGTATAAGGTATATGTACCCTATTACTATGTAGTAAATTACTATAAAGTAATAGGGTATAAATAAGATCAGATTAGGGTGGGTGGACTTATGTCAGGACCTTATACCGACTACTGGGTACTTCTTGTTCTAGGGTCAGGGTGGTCGATCAAATTTCCCAATGCAATATCAAAGCACTCCATTGACTCCGATCCATAATCAATCAATACCATCAAGTGGAAAAAGGAACACACCAAATGTTATGAATTTTTCTATAACTCCTAGAAGTACATCAACCATGTACCAGAATTTTGTCAACAGGGTAAGTTAATTTAAATTTAATTTAATCTTTTATTAAAATAACAGGTGCTTCTACACTATGCAATGGGAATTTAATAATAGCTATTATCTAGCAAGCTGCTGGTAAATGAACTATAGTTCATTTATCACCATTTTTTGGGTATAATTTTCAGTTAACATATACAGGGTGTCCCGAAAATCGCGCAATAACCCTGCAAATTTATTTTTAGTTTAAAAAAATTACAATTAATTTCACACAAGCAATTTTCTAGTTTTAAAAACTCAGCATAAGCTATGTTCTTACTGTGCCGAATACCACACATCTAGGAAGGGTTGTTAATTACGTTAATTACATTTAATATGTGCCGCTATCTGAAGTTATAACTGTTATAACATGGTTGAAAGATGTATTTTAAAATACTGACAGTTTGTAAACTTTGCTGCCATACTACTATTTAGGTTCGTATTTTTCTATAAACTAGCTTTTGTTAACCATACTTTAGCATACCCCTTGCGGCCTTGAGTTCACGGTTTATTCACCGTGAATTCACCGTGAATTCACTATGAATTAACCGTGAATTCACCGTCTGTTTGTGACATTTGTAAACGGTAGTTAGACGGTGAATTCACGCACTTTTCACAGTATTTTAATTGTGAATCCACCGTATTTTGGCGGTATATTCACGTTGAATTCACGGTGAATTCACAGTGAATTCACGGTGAATAAACCGTGAACACAAGGCCGCAAGGGTAGGTATATCCTATAGGTTTAACACAATCGACTATAGCTAGCCATTATTCGTTACTGAGCAGATGAGGATGGAGATGGGGACTTCAAACAATTAATGTTCAGCTATGCCATTACAGACGCACACTTCCAACTAAATATTGCAACCCAACGCTATTTATAGTTAGCTCGCTTGCGTAAACAGCCGTGAGATGTATTGCTTAAATCACTTAACACAGAAATCGACTAACAAAAAAACCGCTAATAAATGGCGTCCAACTTGTTGTTTTTTTCTTTATAATGGCGTCTCAACCTCGTTGATTTTGCGCAGCTACACGAGAGCCGTCTTGCGATATTTGTATTGTATTGGGAATAACCAATTAGCAGATTGTTCGAATCTTACACTTACAATTTGCGGTGTTTTTACAGTCAATTTACGGTGTTTTCACAGTAAACTCACAGCGCTTTTACGGTGAATTCACGGTGATTTCACGATAAATTTACGGTACTTTCACAGTAAATTTGCGGTGATTTTGCAAACTTGAGTTCACCGTGAATTTACCGTGAAATCACCGCGAATTAACCGTGAAATCACCGTGAATTTATTGCAAAAACAGCGTGAGTTCACCGTTTAATTACCGTCTACAAATGTCACAAACGGTGTATTCACGGTGAATTCACGCAAACGGTGAATTCTAGCTAGCCTTGAAGGGGCCCCATATCAAAAATCTGGTAGGGGCCCTTATACGGGAAAATCTGCTGGCAAAAAAAAACTTCTGGGTGTCACGCCCAAAGTCTATTTTGGGAAAACAAAAAAATGTTTAGGGTAGGTATAATTTTTTGCATTTACCAATTTTTTATAATTTAATAAATAATATATATGTATACATAGCTGTTTATGTACAGGCAAATTTGGTTTTAGACGTTTTAGACCGTTCTTCAACATCTTTTAAAAGGTTTCCATTTTAAAATAAAGGCAATTGAAATAATTGTAAGGCTAAAAATTATTTCTATTTTGCTATTAATATAACCTATGATAATAACACGTAAAGCAGGCCCAGTATGCGGCGCAGAGCACAAAACAATATGCTCAGACTTCGCTACAGACAACGCATAACGGAAAGGTGCGGGCAGAAACAATTCATATGAGTTCACGGCCTCGTTGGAACACAAGGGTATACATTTTAATGTAATAAATCGAAGTATAAACAATTAAATATTAATACTATTTATTTATTTATTTATTTAATTTCATGCCCCAACTTTTTTTAACATATGGGTAATATATAAACATATGTTTTTTGCTTTCACATGTCAAAGCCAATCGGGCCCCCCCTAGCCGGGGGCCCTGTATCATTGATACGGCTGATACCGCGGTAGCTACGCAATTTTTTGAAAATTTTAGTTAGGTATAATATGAAGTAAAATCAATAATTTTCGCAATATGTAGTGTAGATCTAGTTTTACATCTACAATTTTGCGATAACTATTCAGCAAAAGTGAAAAGTTTGCGATCATTTCGTGCCCTCATATACCAATCACGAGCGTGTATTCCCATTAATCATAAAATAATTATCATATCGCAGCGTTTTTACCGTCACGCATGACGTGAAGGCGATGTGCGTTTTAATGCCCCTCACGGTTGGTATCTGGGCCGGGGCTTGTCCGATAGACCCAAAGAAAGAATACTCTATGGATGTACTTAAAAATTCAAGACTTTTAGTAAACTTTTTTTAATAACTAAAATAAACAAGTAAATGGGTGTGCATTTATATTCTTCGCTAACCAGTACCTAGTATGATTTTCTGGGAAACGTCTTATTTAAAGTTAGTTAAACTATGTTTACATAAAGTTTAAGTTGAAGGCAGTTGAGTAGTGGCCCTCCAGAAATACAATGCCTTGTTAACCATAATCACCGGCAAATAATGGTTGGAAAGCTGACGCGGCGGCATGGAAACGTGTGTAGAAACGAATTGCTCGTGCACACAGACCAAAATTGTGTAATATGAAATTTCCTACCACTGCATAGGTAAACATGTAGGTACTTACATGCATTACGTAGCGATAAGGGGCAATAAAAATATTACCATTCGGCATTGTGCCGCATTCGTCTCAGATACACGTGGAAGAATTTAAATTGCTTCTTATTCGGAACGAGGCCGTTTCCAAACGACGCCGGTTGATCCTTCTGGACAAATAACGATGACTGTTCGTTACTTTGAGCGTCGCGGCGCGCCGTTGAAAAAAGTCCATGCAATGCAAACAGCAAAATTACATCAAAACGATTTGGATCCTTTGTCGCAAAATATTAAAATATTAAGTTGAGGCAATAATCTTAACAGGTTATAGAATAATATTATAAAATTAATTAACAATTGTATTAATATCTACTTTCTTTTATTACTGGAAATTTCAAAAATAAAAAAGTGAAACAACTTTTTGATGGGCGGAGATGGTTTTTTAAATTTCAGAAACTTAAACTAATTTTTAAATATAAATTATAAAAATCAGAATTTTGCTAAACATATCGAGAAGCCTCGACCTTTGGATGGTAGATGTCGCCGCATCTCGCCGCATTATAAGCGAGTGTGCTTTCACACCACATGGCTGCCTGGCACTGATGAGGTTTAAAAGGTTAGATTCGGATTCAGCACGTCAAAAATCTTCAAAAAAACACATTCTGGTTTCTGTTTGAAAAAGGTATAGGGCTGTGTTATGTTTAATTTAGAACTGCTATGAGTGGGCCCCATGATTTTGAAAAAATAAACTACTAACTAAACTGCGCACCACTCAATGTGTCGCGACCAAAAAGTTCGTTCTTTTTCAAAACTAAATAACTTTT